TACGTTATACCCCCGTTCAAACCCCTTTTAAACCGAAAACTACGTAGGCGAAAACGTAGGAAAAAATACCACTGGGCGACCCCATACATACTCACCCCGTAGGAACTACGAGAATACCCTGAGGATGCCTTCGGCATCCAGGGGTCACAGACCGACCATGCCATTGAAAGAGTCTACTAAGACAAAGGTGGGCTATCAAGAACGTAGAGGAGGTAGGATGGGCAGTTGGTCAGATCTAGTATGGATCGTACATGGACGATAGTTGGAGTCGACGGCTCTCATAGGGTTACCTCAGCTGGGATCCCTGGGGAAGAGGACCAAGTTGGCCCTTGCGAACAGCTTGATGCACTATCTCCCTTCACCCCTTTGATCGAAATGTGGCAAAAGGAAGAAAAATCCATGGGCCGACCCCATCGTCTCCACCCCATAGGAACTACGAGATCATCCCAAGGACGCCTCGGCATCCAAGGGTCGCTGACCGACCATACACAACGCATTAGCTATTTGCTCTCCGGTTGGGCTGTAAGGGTCGGAGAAGGGCAATCACTCATTCTTAAAACCAACATTCTTAAGACCAAATAGTCGGGCTAAAAAGGGGGAGAGCTCTCCGTTCCTGGTTCTCTTGTAGCTGGATACTCTGGAACCATAAGAATCCTTAGAATGGGATTCCAACTCTGCACCTTTTAATTGACTTTAAGAGGAGTTGCTCTTTGGAGAGCATAGTGCAATGAAAGTTGTAAGCTGTGTTCAGGAGGGAGTTATTGTCTATCATTGATCTCTATGGTAGAATTAGTCGAGGAGGCCCGAGAGGCGGTGGTTTACCCTGTGGCAGATGTCAGCGGTTCGAGTCGGCTTATCTCCAACTCGTGATCTTAGCCGATACAAAGGTATATGATAGCACCCATTTTGTCCAATTCGACAGTTCGATCTATGATTTATCATTCATGGACGTTGATAAGATCCTTCCATTTAGCAGCACCTTAGGTTAGTTTGGCATAGACTTAACGTTAACAACTAGGTTCAAACAAGGAAAGGCTTACGGTGGATACCTAGGCACCCAGAGACGATGAAGGGCGTAGCAAGCGACGAAATGCTTCGGGAGTTGAAAATAAGCATAGATCCGGAGATTCCCGAATGGGTCAACCTTTCGAACTGCTGTTGAATCCATGGGCAGGCAAGAGACAACCTGGCGAACTAAAACATCTTAGTAGACATAGTAAAATAAAGCAAAAGTGATTCCCGTAG